AATTCCAGTGGCTCTCTATCACCTCCAGGATCAAATGCAAAATGCTCTGTTCAGCATTCAAAGCCCTTCAGAACCTAGCTCCCTCCTTCCTTCCCAGTCTTCCTACGCCTTACTTCCCAACACATACTCTGATCCAGTGACATTGGACCGGTCCATGAACAAGACCCTTCATCTCTTGGCTCTGGGCATTTTCTCTGGTCATCTCCCATGCCTGGAATGCTTCCTCTCCTCATCTCCACCTGCTAGCTTCCCTGGTTCTTTTAAGTCCCAGATAAAATCCCATTTTCTGCGAGAAAGCCTTCCCCAACCCCTCTTGATTCTAGTGCCTTCCCTTTTTTAATTATTTCCTATTCTTCCTGCCTCTAGCTTGTTTGTACATATTTGTTTTCTTGTTGTCTCCCCCATTAGATTGTAAACTCCTTGAGGGTAGGGACTGTCTTTTGCTTCTTTTTGTATCCCCAGCTCTTAGCACGTGCCTGGTACACAGTAAGAGCTTAATAAATGTTGATGGATTGATTGAAGAAAGAAAATCAAACAATGCCTCTGTAGCTCCCCCACCAAACCTCATTCCACTGCTTAATCCCATCTCTCCTCTAAGATATCATGAAGTTCCTTTAATGCCCAAGGAGCAAGGAGAGAGAGAAATAGAGACAGAGAGAGGAGAAAGACAGAGAGAGAGACAGAGAGAAGAGAGAGACACAGAGAGAAAGACAGAGAGAGGAGACAGACAGAGAGAGAGAGAGACAGAGAGAGAGAGAGCTTGGACAACAGAATGGCAGAGTTGGAGGTGTTTTTCCTTCTCCCCTGGAATTGCCTCTCATCTCCTTCCATGCTTTGAGTGTCTCTGTTTATGTTAAATGTGCAGGGACTCAGCAGACCCAAAGGGCATAATCCTGCCGCCTCACCCCAACCTGATCCTCTATGATTATAAACTGCTTCAGAGGAGGGACCGTTTAGATGTTCTTTTTTCCCCTGAACTGGTGCCAGAAAAAAAAAAAAAACCACTCGGCACAATGAATGTGTTGACAGGTTGTAAATAACCGACTCTGTGAACTTGACTGCTAAATCAGCTCCTCATAGACCGGCTCCAGCCTGTCTTTCCAGGGTAATTACACATTACTCCCCATCACGCACTCCATGTTTCAGCTAAACCTACTCGCTGTTCCTCCTTTGCACAGGCTATTTTAGCTCCTGGCTCCTCCTCACTTCCACTTAGTGGAATCCCAAACTCCTTTCAAAGCTCAGCTCTTGTCACCTTCTGCCCATCCCAACTCTCAGAAATGGCTTCATATTTATTTGGTACTTCTATTGTGTCTATGTATGTGCTGTTCCTCCCCATCCACCCCTACCTTTGTTTCTGAATGTTAGCTCCTTGTGAGCAGAGACTGTTTTGTCTTTGTCTTTGTAACTCCAGCAACCAGCACAGCGCCTGAAACATAGTAGGTGTATATGAAATGCTTATTGAATTCAATTGAATAGTTTGATTTTTATTCTAATTAATGATTTATGAACCAGTTGGAGTGGTGAATCTTAAGCTATAGTGTCATGTCCAGAATGCAAATGATTTAACAAAATTTTTAAAAATACTAATTTGAACTGGGGAGAATGACAATCTTAATTAGTGAGAAGCATGCATTTTTATGATATTGTAAGAGTGAAATATATAAAATGTTACATTTGTGAACTACATGTGCTGCTTCATGTGTATACTATGAGATATCTGGTGCATTGAAATAATATCAGTCTAAATCAGCTCATGATTGCCTTCAGTAAGCCTACAGGGAGGTAGTGTGTCACTGTATCAATTATCCAGCAAGGGAATATAATATCTGCACTGTCCACCAGGTGTCACCCTCCTTCAGCCACCACCCCAGTAGCTTCTCTGATGCATGTGTGGCATAGCTTCCCAAAAGGTTGCAGTATACCCATGAGTTGTATCTAGGACACAAGCAAGGTGAAGAACCCCTGCCCTATGAGAACTTCTGAGGTCCCTTGGTTCCCCAGAGATGAAATACCTGCTAATGAAGAATATTCAACAACCTTCTTGCAATCTTATTATGCTACTGATTCATACTATAAAGAAAGGGCTTGTAAGGTGCTATAAACATCAAGACTGTCCCATCCAGAGTTGTCATTATAATTAATCTTAGCCCAAAAGGTCAAGAAGTATGAGTAAATAATTTCATTTTCTCCTTTAGCATAAAAATTAAGGTATTGAACCTGGTATAAAGTGACAGCTAATTACATAGACCTAAATAATTTTAAACTTTAAAAAATCAGTTCAGGTATCAAATGGAATAATCTAAGAAACAGTATTTAATTAGTCTAGGATGTGGATCCAATGACATTGGTGAATGACAGCTGTTAGTTGCAGGGGTTCACTCAGAAGGTGATGACAGCCACAGCCATACTCTGGGTTCACGACTGGTCCATTAGCAGCATACTCTTCCTCCATTATCAGAGGATAAAGGCTCTAAATGGTGGACAGTCTTTGAGGACGGGAGGTTTAGGCATAGCCTAGGCTGGAGAGTTGAGGAATCTGAGAATGGATGACATGCCCTTCTGCCCACCATAGCTAACAGGTAAAGTAGGGGCAAAAGGACGGGAAGGGAACACACATTTATTAAATGCTTACTATGGATGTGTCTGGCACTATACTAAATGCTTTACAAACATTATCTCATTTGATCCTTATAATAACCCTGAAAGGTAAGTGCTATTGTCATCCCCATTTTACATTTGAGGAAACTGAGATTCGTCCAAGTCACACAGCTAGTGTCTGAGACTGGATCTGAACTCGTGTCTTCCTGACTCCTATCCCAGAACTCTCTCCACTTCCAAGCAAGAAATAATTGTTTGAAACCCCAAGAAGTTTTCCAAGACTAGAACACTAGTGTCTTTCCTTATCTGTCTGGGTAAGGCTTTTCAGACTTTCTTTGTGCTCTTCAGGAGCTCTGCAAACCAACTTTCTACTGATGCCTGGCCCTCAGCAGAATTAAGTGACCACAGGCCAGTCCCCTCCCTTCTCTGAGCCTTGGTTTTCTCATCTGTAAAATATTCATCTCTAAGGGCTCTCACATTCAAGAAGGCCTTCTGCCAAATTACAATGCAAATATATTCACTCATCACCACGAGGGGAAAATCCCAAAAGTGCAGGCGCCCTGAGTCATGACCAATGTAGAGCTGGCACATTTTTTTCAAGCAATGCCCCAAAACCCCCGTTTTCCAGGGTATGATTGTCTAACAACTTGGTAATGGCAGAAAACAAGTCAGATCCTGTTTTAACTTTGATCATAGAGAGAGACTCTGGGCAAATTTGTGGGAATTTTCTGATCTCAAAAGCCAAAATGCCCCAAGAAATATGAAGTGACTGCTGAGTGTGTAGGACAGGTTGTCGGAGGTCACCTAATCAAACTTTCTCCCTGCTTGAAGGATGAACCTTTTCCTCTCAATCAATCCATAGTTACTAAGTGCCTACTATGTGCCAGGCATTGTGCTAAGTGCTGACACTCTAAGACATTCCTGCCAAGGGATAATGCAGCCTCTGAACTCTCATGTCTATGGGGAATCATGCTTATGCAAGGACAAACGAGATACCATAATAGGAACATGTTTTTTTTCAATGACCCTCCATTCAAAGTACATTTTTAGAACACAAAATGTAAAAAAAAAAGGGGGGGGGGGATAAAAAATCAAATGTCAAAAGATTTAATAAAAGGGGAGATGGTGCTGTTTAGCTGAAAGGGCCATGAGCTGGAAACTGGGAGCCTTGGGTTCTGTACCTAACCAGGTGTGTGACCCCGGAGCAGTCACTCCACTCTCTGGGCTCTTTTCCCATCTGTCTGCAGCATGAGAGCATTGGACTAGAGAGGCTCTCATTCCCTTTCGGCTTGAGGGCTCTAAGGCTGGGGTTTCCCTGCCCTGGCACTGTTTATTTGGTGCATTTCACTTACAGAAACCCATGGAGCCCCATTTGGTTTTGGTTTTTAGCCAAACCTTTCTCTTTTGTGGGCTTCTTCCACTGGCCCAGGCTGGCTAGTGCCACACCATCAGAAATCTCCTTGTTGGAAGGGACCCCAGAGCCTAACTGGGCAGATGCCCACCTGAGCGGGAATTCCTGATGAGGAGGGGGTCATTCAGCCTGACCACCGCTCACTCTCCCATAGCGAACAACCTGCCGGAGTTTCTGCTCTTCCCCACCCCCATCCTGGACAAGAACAAAAGTCTGGGGCCAGAAGAAGCAACATGGTGCCTGCATGGGGTTATTGAAAAAGTCCTGGGTGCTTGTTCAGGAACTCTGTGTCCTAGGCCCCATGCCACTAGTGGGGCATGGACCCCTATGAGGGTTGCTTAATTTCTCTGGCCTGTCTCTTTACCTTCAATATTGGGATGAAAATTCTCTCTTACCCTGTGGGGTTGCAGGCATGTGTTATAAGGTGCCCTAAGTGACACCCAAGTGCTCTAAAAGTACCAAGATGCCAGATAAAGGCATTGGGCATTATTATGTATAGGAAGGACATCTAAGGCTGCCTTTTGAACAGCTCCACCTTTCCCTTCCTTTTATTTGGTCCTTAATCTGGTTCACAAGCCAAAAACTTCTTTGGGACTCTGCCTCTCAGAGATCATTAGCCTTGGTTAGAGAATAGAGGAAAGAGGGGTCAGGCCAGCGGAGGTCATGGGTCTATGCACCCCACAGGGTCAGTGTGAGCCCACACCCCACCACTCCAGTTTGGCCACAACCTGGGCTTACTACTAGGATGGAGGAAAATGTCTCCATAGGAGGAAGGAGGCACATAGGAGGCTGCCTTTAACAGGGAGAGGGAAACGCACCTAAGGATGGGTCCCCATTTCGTCTCTCTTGCCTCCACTCTAATAGAAGAAGCCCACGCTAGAATGCTAAAGCCTGACTTTAATATGTGACATCCCCTCCGGTAAAGGATGGAAGGGGATTGGCTAATGAGTGAGGACGGGACAACAGCCCCCACCCTGCCCCATGGGAGTGGAGGCTTGCAATGGTTTATTCAAGGGGAACCACGAGTCTTCTTCCCACCTACCCCCTACCACTGAAACCCGTCTCCTCAGAGGACCTCGTCCATCCGTGCAGGGTGGAGTGCAGAGCCTGGGTCCCCAGGCACAGCTAAAATCAGCGGCAGAAGCAAAGTCTAGAAGGTGGCTCCCAAGCCTACTTTGGCTGCTGGTGGGCAGGAGGGTGAATCCTGGAGGGCGGCTGGCCCCGCTCCTGCCAAGCCTGGGAGGGGCCCATGGCCTCCTCCTTCTCCGCAGCCTTGGCGCCGTGCTCTATCCTGGGAACAGCTGGCTCACGAGCGTCCAGGCTTCGCTGGCCCAAGTCCTGCCGCTGGGACAAGCTCCGGCTCCTTCTTAGCGGGCTGGAGAAAACCAAAGCGAAGCCCTCCTTACAATAAAGGGCGTTGCTCCGGGTTGCCTCCACAGCCATCTCCAGCAGCGTCACGACACAGTCTGAAAACAAGTGTCTCAGCCAAAAGTGGCCTTTCTGGAAGGCGATGCGCAAGCTGACGGGGCCCGCCGGCATCTTGACGCTCACGCTGAACAGGTAGTCCCCCTGGGCGCTGTCCCGCAGCAGGTAGGTGCCCACGGGCTCCGTCTCCAGCCGGGCGTGGGCCTCGCCCACCGACAGAGGCCCCCAATAGTAGTCAGTGGCTTGCAGAATGCGCAGAGCGCGCTGCACCACTTCCCATTCGTGGTTTCGAAAGGCCCGATAGTGAGTGGGCAGGCTGGCCCGAGCTGGGACGAAGGGAGGCGCCGGCTGCCGCTCCGGGGGAGAGGGTCCCCCAGGTCCTAGACGATCTGCTCCATCGACCCTCCCTCCGAACGTCTCCCACATGGCCCATGAGTCCAAGAACGAAGCATCCTTAGCTTCCTTGTTTCACACCTGGGGAAGAAATGGAAGCAGAGACTTGGCTCAGTAGTGACCCCCAACGTACGGCAGGCTCCCAGGTGAGTTAGATGGGGGCGGGAGGTGGCACAGACGAGGCAAGCACACAGAACCAGCCCAGCCCCCAACCCTGAAACTTGGGGGAATCCAGGAGCTAATGGAACTCTTAGTTAATGAAATACCCATTTCCACCACCACCTCCAAACCCATGTGCCGGTGCGTTTCATCCCCTTCCGCATAGTCCCGGAGGTCAATGGTGCTGACACAGCAAGGGAAGGGAAGGGGGGCGTATTGTAACGATGCCAGTTTTCTGGGGCGATTTGTAAAATGGCTCTGGGAGCGCCAAGAAATACGGTCAGCCATGGAAACATCACCCGAAGGGTCAGAGAGCTGCCAGCAGGGTCACTCGGCGGCTCACTACTGGCAGGATAGATGCTGGGAATAAGCCGGATCAATGAGGACATCAGGGTGAACATTCCCTCGGCCAGGGCAGATCTCAGCCCTCTCTTTTTATTCTGTTCCTTTTCTTTGGTGTCCTCCCATACAGGCTGTGTTCATGCCGGGAGTCTTCCCTTGGGTGGGTCCTTCATCACTGGGGTGGTGACAGCACAGTCCTCAGGCCACTTCTGCCTACCTCTTTTACACCCACTGCCTAAAGGGCACTAACAAGTCTGCTCCAAAAGAAGCATCCAGTCTCTTTCCTCCATGGTCACCCTTTATATTTTAGTTATGGGGGCATACAGACTCTAGATTGTTTAAAGGCCTCCCCTTGCCCCCAGGCACCCATGCTCAATGAGGACTACAGGCTTGGCTGTTACCAAAAAGTTGAATCCAGAATGTGAGCTCCCTGAAGGAAGGAATGACCAGGTTTCTGACTTTCTTTGTATCTCCAGCTCTTAGCAAGTGCCTGGCACAAAAACGAGTGCTCAGCGAATTTTATTGACTGACTCACTGACACCCCCATCCCACAAACTCATGATGACCTTCTCCTGATGCATGGAAGGGTTGCAATCTTTCTTAGTGGAGGGTGTGGCCACCTTGAGGAAATAAGTCATGGATCCTTGGGGCCATGAAGGATGGAGTTGGTCAAGTACAGGCCATCGAAATTTCAGGTGAAGAAGGCTCTGCTCCCCCATACCATTCTCATGTGTATTTGTCACATGTGCCATACACAGATGACCTAGTGACGGAGCCACGCTAATGAGAACTAGGGCATACACCAGGCCTGATTAGTGAAAAGTCTAAAAAACCACAAGATTTTTAACAGCATAAAGAATCAAGTACCCTACCAGGGTAAACTCACTACCAATGCTGCCCGCCCACTTTTATTCTTCAGTCTCTCAGGAGAAGATTGTACCTGGGACCTCGTTCTCTGCCAGCACCGCAGTCTTCAATTACATGTCAAGCTAATGCACAAAGCCCTTCTAACAGAATCGCCAGCTTCAGGAGCCTCAAAGCGGCACTCACAGTGACTGACAGCCTCTGGAATTTAATGGCGAATTGGAGGGGAATGCTTCCAACAAATTGTTTTTAAAGTAATGTGTTTATTCCCCAGAAAGACACAAAAGCCCAGGTTTCCCTAGGCGCTACATTAGTGAAATCTCACCAAGGCTGGCATTAGGGAAAAAAAAAAGCCAGACCACTTCCAGTTAAAGTAAGATAAAATCAAGGCAGCAAATAGGTAGGTATTTCTATTTCTTAGTAGCTCCCCCCATCCCTGTGTTATACAGTCATACTTCCTGAAAACAATTTGGTTTTCTTTGCTCGATTGACAAGTGAAAGCTATAAATTATTTCAGATGCCAGGTCCAGGACCCTTCTAGTCTGGGTCCAGTGACCCAGGAGAGCCACAGCAAGCTATCTGAAAACAATTACGTCTGTCCACTATTAAAGGGAACAGGCTCTGACAGGCACACATTGTGTCCCTCTCGCCATTGTCTTACGCGATGTCATAACTCATCCTGTGGGGTCATTATAGGTAAGCCTTCCCTTCAGAAGCTCCATTGGCCCTCTGGGCCAAATAAGGCTGCCTTTGATATTGGTTAAAGAAAGATCCCATTGATGGAGAAAATTTGTAGATTTTGCATATTTTAATTATGGCAATGGCTTTTTAGCATCTATATAACTTGGGCTATTTCAGTGATTTAGGGCACTCTGGAGTAAGAGTTCTTCCCACGTACTCAGAATAATTTTGTTAGCCACTGAATGACAAAGAGGTTCGTGGCCGACAAAACCTGGCCACAATATGGCAGGGTCCCAGCAGTTTTTGCCTGTGCCCTTCGCCACGAAGCCCTTTTGGACCAGGAATCACTACCGGTCACCTTTTCTAACTTGGTCATTACCTTGTTGGCTTGCAAGGAGGATTTCAGAGTTAGAAAGTGATAATAGAAAGGAGAGAAAACAGAAGCTCTTAAGTTGGGGGATTTTTCGCCACCTTTGTCAAGTAAGGGGTGACAGTGGATTGATTCACTTCCTCTGGAGCAAAGAAACTGGATGGCTCTTTTGGAACACACTTGCTAGTGTCCGTTGGGCTACGGACCGCTCATGTGATAAGAGACAGACGGCCCAAGAGCTACCATGTTACTCCCAATATTAAAAGAGGAAGACCCCCAGAAAGGTACATAGATGCTCACTACAGGGTGTATGGGAGGCCATGGAACAGAAGGGACAGGAGACAGCTGGAAGCCCAGTATTGGGCTGGAGTCCAACAGACCTTGGTCGTAGGATGTTGTCCCAGCTCTGTGGTGACTCGTAAGGTCAGTGCTCAGAATTCTTAGCTTTCTCATTTTCAAAACGAGATGGCTGAACTGGAAGACCCTTCAGGCTCCACTCTGAAATTCGGTCACTTATAATTATTATTTCCCCATTTTACAGGTGGAGATACCAAGGCAGGGGCATGGTTGTGACTTGAACATAGGTCATAAAGTGAATCAACAGTACTAACTTGATTTATTCAAGTCTACATCTCAGGCTTTTAACTCAGTCCTCTGCCACGGACCCCTCTGACAACCTGGTAACACCCAGGGACTTCTCAGAATCATAATCTCAAATAATCGGAGAAAACACTAAATTTCAGCGAGAGGTTAGTGAAAATAAGGAAGTTCATGGACCCGGTGAAAGCTCTCCCTAGTCCACAGCAGAGAGACCAGGAGCCCAGGAGGGTCAAGCACCCTTGAGCTGGAGAAGCTTCTCCTTATATAACCTTCTGTGGCACGGAGTGTTCAGGTATTCAGCCTTCCCTGGTCAAGATTTCACTTATAAGGAAAAACTAACCCTCCACTCTCCCCAGTGCAGTGTGGTCACTTTCTTGGACTGCGTCATTCTGTTCCCCACATCTATTCCAACACATGAACTGGGCCAGAATTTTGAGAAAAAAATCTGCCTGAGATCCCAAGGAGAGACTTTCTCCCTGTTCTCCCCACCCTCATCTTCTCACTGTCTCTCAATCTCGTCTGGGAGTCCATCCCAGTTGGCCCCCAGAATCACAACAATAGGTCCAACCCAATGTAGGGAAAGCGTATTCTTTGTTTGGAACTCGGGTGTTTGGTAGAGGTATTGCCTGGTTTACCCTCCCTGACGACACCTCCCCTACCTGCCCTCGTTGCTCTGTCTATGGGTCCATTTCAGTGGCCCCTTGGTGACAATGGGGATTGCATGCTCATATTCTGATGCCTCCTCGGAGCACAGGCATGACCACCCTGGGCCCTTGAAGACTATGCCAATGGACAGCCATCTCCAGGAAGCCCTACCAAGCTGAGACAACTTCCTGGATTGTCCAGTGATGGACTGAAGACCTGGTGTCTGAGCACCAGCCTAGCCAGATTTGGAGGGGCTCATCACCAGGGCGTAAATGTTTCTTCAGAAGCAAAGCATGAAGATCACATACAGCTGAGGTTCTTATGCTGGGGTCCATGACCTTTTTCTTTTGTTTGGTTTGGTTTGGTTTTTTGGTGAGGCAATTGGGGTTAAGTGACCTGCCCAGAGTCACACAGCTAGGGAGTGTTCTGTGTCTGAGACCAGATTTGAACTCAGGTCCTCCTGACTGACTCCAAGGCCGGTGCTCTATCCTCTGCGCCACCTAGCTGCCCCTGGTCCATGAACTTTTAAAAAATATTTTGATGACCATATTTCAACATAATTGATTTCCTTTCTGCATTTTACTCTATAAATTTAGACCATTGTTCTGAGAAGGAGGTCCGTGAGCTTCACCAGCCTGCCCAAGGGATCCATGACCCCCCAAAAGTCTAGGAAGCTGTGATCTACCATGTTATAGAGGGATCATGATCTGTACCAGCTAAAGGAACACCCAGTCCAGTGAAACAATAGACCACAGAAGCAAGGAGCTAGGCACTGAGTGAAGGACATAGCAGGTCAACATTTCACGAAGGTGAAGAAATGGGAACCCAGGGTAGAAAACCAAGGCCAGCCCCAGCCTGCCCAAGGATCTCTGTCCTTATCAAGGTCTGGTAGGACATGTCAGGAATGAGGCACTCATGAGCTGGGTGGGCTTGAGTCACCTGCACTCTGTGCGGGGGGGGGGGGGGTGTTGTCCTCCCCCCACCTCGAAGGCCGTTCCTACGCTTCCAGAGCATGCCTCCAGCAGCACCTGAGGTTCATGTTGGGAGTCAGGAAGACCTCGATGGTGTGGGGAGACTACGGGAGAGAGAAGCAGCCTTGGGTCTAGGTCTCCGGGCAGAGGTCCCTGGGGCAAACCTGTATTGTTTACCAAACACGCCTGTCTATAGAACAAGCAAGCTCCTCTCCCTCTCTCTTCCTGCTCTCCAAATGCCACCTCCCCCCACACCCAGTCACAGGCTGAGAAGGTTACTTTTGTGTGCGTAAGCAAGGCTTAGCTCATAAGCTCTCGCCTTCGAGGGGTCCAGGGACAGCCTTCTGGGGCTCTTGAGCTTGGATGGCAAAAGAAATCACATCTTTATTTTCACTAACTGAGATGCAGCATTTCCTTCAATTATTCAAAACCATCACTACAAAGAGGGG